GAGCATGGCATTGGCAATCCTTGATTAAACCCTAAACCTCAAATCCTAAACCTTAAACCCTAAACCTTAAAACCCTAAACCCTAAACCTTAAATCCTACGCTCCAAACCTTACATCCTAAGCTCCAAATCTTAAATCCTAATTTAAGCTCTAAATCCTAAACCGTAAACCTTAAAGCCTAAGCTCTAAATCCTAAACCCTAAACCCCATTTCCCGATCTGGCCTTGGACATGATGGCACTGACCTGAAAGGGCTGGGGGATCCCTGCCATGGTTCGTGGCCGGGTTTAGGGTTTAAGGGTTTAGGGGTTTAGGGGTTTTGGGGGTTTTAGGGGCTTAGGGTTTAGGGGTTTAGGGTTTAGGGGTTTGGGGTTTAAGGTTTAGGGTTTAGGGCTTAGGTTCTTGTCAAGGAATTTACCCCAAGACACCAAGTAACCAGAACAGGTGTCGATAGTAACTATATGTGAATACTATGGTCTCCTTGCTGTGGTAACTTCAACTACCTTCCTGAACATGGGTATTCATGCACAATTGTTGTTTCCTTACTGTGGTAGCTTGTAATAGTAAAAACAAGTTCCTGAACAAAACCCAGATTGCTGTGCTGATTCTTATGCTCCTCTTCGTCTTCTACCGCTCTTGTTCTTGTTGCTGACATGAACAACATGTTTAAACCCTAAACCCTCAACCCTAAACCGTACTTACCGTCTTACATGGATCTCATGAAAGCGGACATTATCTCACTGGTCTTCTGAGCACCATCATCCCTGCTGTACTCGTGCTGCTCATTCCAAGCTATTTCTTTTTGTTACTCTGAATGAAAGCCAGTGGTTCTGTGTTTCCGATAGAGGGCCTTCATATACCTGCCTGTACTCCGCCCATTCCTAGCTTCAAGTTTTGTTGGGGCCGGAACGGAAATCATGAGAAACGAACTTCAACGTGGTCTCCTAATTGGGCTACATTTAAGATCCCTCAAGCCGTGCCTGAGACCCAAATTCTCAATAAACCCCAAACCCCAAACCGTGAGGAGGGCTCTCTGTAATGCCTAACGAAAGGCGACAACACCGTTATACAACCAAAGAAACAATGAACAAGGCGCTCTGAAAATCTTTACCCCAGCGTGAGCCAGATACCATGAAGCCTGCTATAGGGGCTGCCTCAAGGCATACTGTCTGTCTACTGTCTGTCCGGCCACAGTGCAGCGACCTAAACAGTTGAAGTAGATCTTGGTGGTGCCTTGCACATACCCGTATGTATGAATGAATGCATGTGCATGTTCTTCGGTATATAATAATAGCCAGCTAGCTAGCGGGGCAGGTACATCGATCCATAGACAGGCAGCTACACGGCAGCATAGCCAGACAGTTAGATAAACAGCTAGATAGCTAGCTAGCTACCTAGTTAGCTAGCGGGGTAAGTACATCGATCCATAGACAGACAGCTACACAGCAACATAGCTAGACAGTTAGGTAGACAGCTAGATAGCTAGACAGATAGATAGATAAATATATCGACAGATAGGCAGATACATCGATAGGTAAAGATGGGATAGATACATAAACAAAAATAAATGCACAGGTAGGTCGATGGACGGATGGATGGATGGATGGATGGATGGATGGATGGATGGATGGGGAGGGAGAGACAGAGACAGGGATAGATAGAATAGGTGGATAGATAGATACGTAGCTAGCTAGGTACATGTAGGTAGGTAGATAGATAGATGGAGAGATGAGTAGATAGATAGGTTGAGATGCATAGGTCGATATAGGTAGATAGATACATAGATAGATAGATAGATAGATAGATAGACAGATAGATGGATGGATGGATAGATAGACAGATAGACAGACAGGAAAACAGAGAGGCAGATATATAAATAGATAGATAGACAGATAGTTAGATCGATACACAGATGGATACAAAGACAGACAGATAGGTGATAGAGAGAGATAGACAGATGGATAGTTAGTTGGATCAGCAAATAGAAGGACAGGACGATAGGATAAGTTGGCTTATGGACAGCTAGATGGATAGACGCATAAACAGGCAGGCACATAGATAGAAAGATAGATAGAGATATACAAGATAGATAGATCGATTGATAGAAAATAGATCGAGATGAATATAGATAGATAGATAGATAGATAGATAGATAGATGGATAGATAGATAGATAGACAGATAGATAGATAGATAGATCGATAGAGAGAGAGAGAGATAGATAGATAGATAGATAGATAGATAGATAGATAGATAGATCGACAGATAGTTCTACATATAGCTAGAAAGGTAGGTAGGATAGGCAGGTAGCTAGATAGGTAGATAGGTAGGTAGGTAGGTAGGTAGGTAGGTAGGCAGGCCCGTAGATAGGTAGACAGGTAAGTAGAATTATTGCTAGAGCTAGATAGGGCGGTATAGATATATAGATAGGCAGACAGAGTAGATTAGCTTAGATTAGATTTCGTCTCATTCCTCCCAGCTAGATGCGACAAGGCAAGAAAAGGTAAGATACGATAAGTAGATAGCTAGATCGACCGATAAATAGATGCTTGGATGGTTGGCGAGACGGACAGAAAGAAAGATAGAACTATCGATCTATAGACCGATAGAAACAGGTAGATAGGAAGTACGTGGTCAGGTAGGTCGGTAAGTAGGCGGGTAGGTAGGCACGCAGCCAGCCAGCCAGGCAGGTTGGATGATGTGTGTATGTATGTTTATACGTATGTACGTGTGCATGTACGTATGTATGTACGCATGCATGTATGTCTGAGTGTGTGTATGCATGTATGTATGTATGCATGCATGCATGCATGGATGTATGTATGTACGTATGTATGCATGCATGTATGCATGTATGTACGTATGTATGTACGTACGTATGTACGTATGTAGGTATGTATGTATGTATGTATGTATGTATGTATGTGTGTATGTATGTATGGATGTAAGGATGTATGGATGCATGTTATGTATGTATGTGTATGTATGTGTATGTATGTGTAAGTATGTGTATGTATGTATGTACGTATGTGTATGTATGTGTATGTATATGTATATGTATATGTATATGTATATGTATATGTATAAGTGTATGTATATGCATATGTATGTATGCGTGTATGTATGTACGAATGCGTGTATGTGTATGTGTATGTGCACGTGCATGTATGTATATATGTACATATGTAAGTAATCTGTAAGTATGTATGTATTTTTTTGCTCCTCCTTGCGCTCTGGTGTGCGTGTCCTTTTGACTGTCTGCGGGTTTCTAGGCGCGGGCGATAATGCGACTTATCGGAAGTCTGCATCATCGTAAACCCTAAGCCCTAAACTCAGGGCTGGGCATCGGCAAAGCTGGACATGGTGTCGGCGGGTGCATGGACGCCGAGGACGATAGGTACGTCTCTCAGATGGGAGATGAAATCGTTCAGGAACCACTCGAAAACCTTACCTGAAGGATTAAGGCTGCTAGGGTTTCGGGGTTTATGGAGTGTGGGTTTGGGGTTTAGGGAGGTTGGCCGTTTGAGGCTTAAAGGTTTTAGAGTAGTCCGTGGAAGACGAGAACTTCGCAGTCCTCCGCAACAGGAGTCTCCAGCGCAATCCCTCTTCTGTTGCAGAGGTTCAGGGTCTACCCCTAAGCCCCCATAGTAGTTCCTTTTTGGGATTACCCAATAGAATTCTACATATGAACCCCAAAAAGGAACTACTATGGGGCCTACGGGTAGGAGGAACTTGCGAAGAACTTGAGGTTGAAGTTAGTGAGTCTGTGACGGTTTGAGATTCAGCTGAAAAAACTGACCAGGTGCTGCTTGAGACTTAACTTCAGGGTTTAGGGCTAGAGAACTCCGATGCCCAAAAGCCCAAACCATCCCCCAAAACCCCCACACCAGAAAATCCGAATTCGAAAACCTTGAAACTCCACGAAACCCCAACAACGCCCTGATGGGCTTCATAGCGGCTTCATCCTCTAGTAGTGCTCTGGTAGTGTCAACCCTAAACACGAGCCCGAGCCCCTACTGAACCCCTAATGTAGGGTTTAGGGTTTAGGGTTTAACAGAGTTTAAAGTTTAGGGTTTAGGGTTTAGGGTTTAGGGTTTAGGGTTTAGGGTTAGTTTAACACCCTGCTGCCCCTAATCTCAGGCCTCTAATTGCAACAACCGACGCGAGACGGGCTTCTGGGGTTTAGGGTTTATGTGCTGCTGGCTACCTACAGTAAACCCCTAGACGGTTGAATTAGTGATGAAGGTGTCCTTGCTAACTCGGCTTCTCAAACCCCAAACCCTAAACCTTAAACCTTAAACCCTAAACCCTAAACCTTAAACCGTAAACCTTAAACCCTAAACCCTAAACCCAAAGCCCTACTAACCCCAGGCTGAAAAAGTTTTCACAAGTTACAACCGCACAACCCTAAAAGCCTTTCAGCCCTGAGACCTCCATGACTAAATCCTACATCCTTTAAAAGAAACTTGTTTAGGGTTTAGGGTTTAGGGTTTAGGGTTAAAGAAACCCTAAACATAAACAGCCAATACCCTAAAAGCTCTAAGCCCCTCAAAAGGCCAACCCTAAACCCTAAAGTCCCTAAACTTAAAGCCGAAATCCTGACAACCCAAACCCTGAGGCCAAAGCCTTAAACCACCAGACCCCTAAACCCTTCAACGGCCCAAGGAACGCCCTTTCGGCTGCGGAGCTCCCGATCGCTCTGTGGGTTCGAGCGTACCTTCGGGTTTTTGGTTAAAACGGCTTTAGGGTTTAGGGTTTAGGGTATAGGTTTCAGGGTTTAGGGGTCGGGTGGTTTAGGTTTAGGATTTTTAAGGGTTTCCTTTAAGGGTTCCTTTTAGGGCATATGGTTTTGGGGTTCCTTTATGTGGAACCCTTTGAGGATTCCTATAAGGGCTTCGGCGTTTTAAGGCTTCCGGATCAACAAGGGCTTCGGGAGGGTTCTAGTTAGGCTTCTTTTGGGGGTTCTACTGAGGATCCATGTAAGGGTTTAGGGCTTAGGGTTCTTTAGGACTTTAGGGGGTTCGTTGAAAGGCTCCTTAACGGTACCATAAGGATGCTGTTCAGAGCATTTAAGGGCTGGAGGGCACCATACAAGTCTCATAAGGCTTCTGCGCAGAGGGTAAAACCCTAAACCCTAAACCCTTGTAGAAGCCTTCAGGATGCCCCAAGATTTGCCTTCCAAAAACGCCTCCCTAACTAAACCGCTGTAGTATAATTAGAACAGGGTTTGAGGGCCTTTCATAGTAGAATTCGAATAAGGAACCCCTAAAATAATTTAGGAACTGGTTTAGGCCCCTATGTTATTCAACGCATCACTTCGAGTCCGGTCGCCCATGCCGTAGCCGGCTACCGACACGATGACGTCGTAGGCCTGCATTGAGGCGTTAGGCTTTAGGGTTTAGGGGTTGGGGTCTGAAACTTCGAAGAAGGTTTGGGGTACTCTGCAGTTTGGGGTACTCTGCAGTGTAGCTAGAATATCAGTCGGAGGTAAAGAGTATACTGTGACAGAAGTTAGAGGGACTACAATGACTATGCTGTTATAATAACGGCATAAAAGGGGTGATGATTGGTTCAGGATTGTGTCGAAGTACCCTAAACCCTAAACACCAAACCCTAAAACCCTAAACCCTAAACCCTAAACCCTAAAACCCTAAACCCTAAACCCTAAACCCTAAACCCTAAACACCTAAAAACCTAAAAACCTAAACCAAACCCGTGGGTGGTTGGTGACGGTGGCGGGGCCTGGAGCTTCGGCGCCTGTCGAGTTTAGGGCTTTGGGCTTGTAATAAATAGGAATTAGAATAAGGGTTCCTTTAAAGGGATCCTTAAAGGGCTCTATAAGGGATCTATGATAGGGTTCTATATTAGGGTTTAGGGTTTAGAGGTTTAGGGTTAAGGGTTCCACATGAGGGGCCTTAATGATTAGAATAGGGTTTTGGGGCCCATTATACTATAATTTCAATAGGGAACCCCCAAAATAGTGCAGGTACTTATTTAGGGCCCTATAGTAGGGGTTGGGGTTTGGGGTTGGTTTGCCGCCTTGAGGGGCTCTGCTTCGGTTTTTTTAACCCCCCAAAACCCAAAACCCTAAACTGTCGGCTTTAAGGGTTTAGGGTTTAGGGTGTTAAACGCTCAACCCTAAAACCATTAAGCCCTAAACCAAAAACCCTATTAAACCCTAAAGCCGTAAAACCCTAAACCCTGAAGCCCTAAACCCTTACACCCTGAACCTGTAAACCCTAAACAATTAAACCCTAAACCCATAAACCCTAAAGCCGTAAACCATAAACCCTTAAACCCTAAACCCTTAAACCCGAAACCCTTAAACCCTTGAGCTCAACCCTAAACCCTAAACCCTGAACCCTGAAACCCTTAAACCCTAAACCCAAGAAACCCTCAACCCTAAACCTTTCAACCCTAAACCCTTAAACCCTTAAGCCCAGGAAGCAGAGCCGAATCGACGGCCCGCCGGACCTGTGGGGCGAAGGAGCCAAGCTGGAGAGCTCCGAAACCGCCCATGCTGTACCTAAAATGACGGCAAAAGGGGCTTCAGGGGGCTTGGGGGTTGGTTTAGGGGCTCTAGGTTTGTAGGGGTGAGGGTTTAGGGGTTAGGGCTTAGTAGCTTTAGGGGCTTAGGGTTTAGGGGCTTGAGGAGCTTGCTGGACTTAGGATGGTTTAGGTCTTAGGGCATTTTAGGGTTTAGTTGCAGTTGGGGGTTGTGGGGATTTCGGAGTTCAAGGTTTGGGGAATCGAGGGTTTCGGCTTCAGGCTTTATCGTTCTAGGCAGGTTACAGTGAACCCCAGAAAGTTAGACCTAAACCCTAAACCCTAAACCCTAAACCCTAAACCCTAAACCCTAAACCCTGAACCCCAGAAAGTTAGAACATTAGTTTAGGAGGATTGGTGCTGGGAGGCTGGGATGCCCCATACTTTACCTTAGGGGCATCAGGAGAATGATGTTCCAACTTTCTTGCTTCTACTATAGGGCTCGTGGGTCTCGGGTTGAGGGTTTAGGGCCCACCGGCGCCCCGAAAAGGTCAAAGTTGGGATTTCAAGGTTTGGGCTTTCGGGTGGGTATTGAATCATTTAGGGTTTAGGGTTTAGGGTTTAGGGTTTGAAACAGCTGCAACGACCTGAACACCTGAACCTGAACGCAAAATCTACACTGCCCTCACAGAAAAAGCCATTACTTAAAGGATCATGGGACTTAGTAAGTAGGGTTATAATTAAGGTAACCATACTGATAACCCCAACTAGGGGACTTGGAACTGAATGAGACGCCAAGGCCGCCCCATGGCCATGACACGCTCGGCATTGAAGTACTCGGCGGCTTCAGTAACCTGTTCTATGTATGTATGTATGTATGTATGTATGTATGTATGTATGTATGTGTGTATGTATGTATGTACGTATGTGTGTACGTATGCATGCATGCATTCTGATTTATGTGTAGACGCATGCATACATGTAGGTTTGTATGAGCGTGTATGTACCTGTATACACATATGGGCATGTATGTATGTATGTATGTATGTATGTATGCATGCATGCATGTATGTATGTATGCATGTACGTGTATATACATATACATATATACATATATATATATATATATGTGTATATATGTATATATATATATGTATATTTACGTATGTACGTCATTTGTGTCTTTATGCGTCCTCGAATTTGGCACGCAAGAACCCGAGTGGCGACATACTGACTTCGATCAGAACCTCATGTGCCTTCCGCGGTTGACTAGCTCATGGGTGAGCTGGATCATGCAGCTTTTCAGTACCCCTGAAACCATGAAACCCTTGACCCCTTAAGCCCTGAAAACCCTAAACCCTAAATGCCCGTTCAAAGCCATCGGCGCGGGAGCCCCGATCTGAATTCAATGTTTAGGGTTTAGGGTTTAGGGTTTAGGGGTGTAGGGTTTAGGGTTTAGGGTTTAGGGCTCCCCATTGGTGCCTTCGATGTGAGCGCCTCCAGGAATGGTCGGTGGAGGTCTCCATTGACATATCCCAGGTCCTTTGCTTTAGGGTTTAGGGTTTAGGGCTTAGGGCCAGCGAGCCCTCCTAGAGGAACCCTTTTAAGGGAACCCTGAATCAAAGGTACCTTTAATGTAGGAAAATAACAATTAGAATAGGGTTTTGGGGCCCATTATACTACACTTATAATACCCCCCAAATAATCTAGGTAGTTATTTAGGCCCCTACATCGCCCTAAAGCCCGCTGTAAGCCCTACTCTGGGAAGGAGCCTCTAAAGGGGTCTGACGTGCCCTACACAGGTCCTAAACCCTAAACCAAGGTCGCGGCTACAAGAAGTGTAGGAGCTCGATGGGGTTTAGGGTTTAGGGTTTAGGGTTTAGGGTTTAGGCTTTCAGGATTCAAGGCCGGTTTTCATTTTCGGGCTTAGGGTTCAGGGTTTAGGCGTCTAAAGTTTAGCCTAAACCCTAAACTCTATAAACCCTGAACCCTAAAACCCTAAACCCTGAACCCTAAAACCCTAAACCCTGAACCCTAAAACCCTGAACCCTAAACTCTTCGAGGTTGGGCTGAGAAAGCCTGAAACGCAGCGACCCAGGTTCGGGGGCCTTGGAGTTGTCAGGGGGCTGTCAGAATTGGAGTTGCGGGGTTTCGGGATTTTAAGGCTTCCGTAGTTTCGGCTTCTTAATCTAAGGTTTAGGATTCAGGGTTTTCCGTAATTTCGGCTTCTTAATTTAAGGTTTAGGATTCAGGGTTTGGTGGGTTTAGGGTGTAACGGTTTCGGGTTAGGGTTTAGGGTGTGGGGCATAAGGGTTTAAGGCTTTAGGGTTCCTGAAGGGCAATATCTGTTGGAGCACGTTGAGTAGCCGGCTTATGATGCTGCGACCCAGAGCCTCCAAAACCCCTTAATTAAGGAATATACCTCAAACTATAATAGGAACCTAATAAGACTTAAGGTATATTCCTGAATTAACCCTGAACCCTAAACCCTAAACCCTAGACCCTAAACCCTAGACCCCCAAACCCTAACCCCTTAACCCTAAACCTTGAACCCTAAACCCTAAACCCTAAACCCTAGACCCCTAAACCCTAAACCCGAGGTTTTGGTGACTTCGGGCTTGGCACTCTGGGCTGCAAGGGTACTGGTTTGGAATTCGAGGTCAGGCTGCGGGTTGCGGTGTTTCCGGACTTGGTAGATTAGGGTTTAGGGCTTAGGGTTTAGGGTTTAGGGTTTCCGGATTTAGTACCTGATCTCTAGATTAGGGTTTAGGGTTTAGGGCTTCCGGATTTAGTACCTGATCTCTAGATTAGGGTTCGGGCTTAGGGTTCAGGGTTTAGGGTTTCCGGGTTTAGTACCTGATCTCTAGATTAGGGTTTAGGGCTTAGGGGGGTTAGGGTTTAGGGTTTCCGGATTTAGTACCTGATCTCTAGATTAGGTTTAGGGTTTAGGGTTTCCGGATTTAGTACCTGATCTCTAGATTAGGGTTTGGGCTTAGGGTTTAGGGTTTAGGGTTTCCGGATTTAGTACCTGATCTCTAGATTAAGGTTTAGGGCTTAGGGTTTAGGGTTTCCGGATTTAGTACCTGATCTCTAGATTAGGGTTTGGGCTTAGGGTTTAGGGTTTAGGGTTTCAGGATTTAGAGATTAGGGAGTCGGCGTTGCCGGGCTGTACGGCGTAAGGGCAAGGGTCTTTTGGCTACAGAAGTTCGTGTGTCTGCACACCTCTCAAGGCCCAAGTTTTAGACCCCGTGATAATGAGCATAGGGCATTGGGGCATATTTTGCTACACTTGTTATGAAAGAGGAACCGCTGAGGAATAATGTCCTAAACCCTAAAACCTAAACCCCCAAAACCTAAAAACTAGACCCTAAATCCGCCACTAGATTACCCGCCTTGCGGTTCTGGGTCTTGGTAAATGTGCAGCCCCAGCTGAAGAGCATTCCTGGGCTTTGGAGAGGGGAAGCTGGCCACATCGTCGGGTAGTAGTCGTCGTCGTGGTGGCTGTAGTAGGAGTAGGAG